CCCCGACCACCGCACATAGTTTGCAACATTAAACCGCAATACCTTGTCTAATTCCTTGGAATCGAAACAAAGGCTACACATACCACAAACACCGACAGATCCGAGCGGCCCAACGGACTCCTTGAAATATTAAAAATAATAAAAAAAAATATAATATTTTGCGAACCATGCTATTAAAGTATCTTCCACTTTTATTTTTTTATTATAATTTTTGTTTTATGGATTTTGAGCTCGGTTCGAATTCGGCTTTTGGCACCGCGCTGCACCCATTCGCAAAACAATGATAAAGCGCTGTTTCCTCTAGCATCGAAATATTGCTTTTAGATAGATAAAGAGATGAGGGCAGGCTAAGCCACTTTGACTGACTTCTGAATTCAGGCAGCAGTGTTTAGCATATAAATAAAGGCGGTGCGCCTTGGAGCCTCTCCACTTTATATGCAAAGCGAGATGCGTCAGTTGATAATGCCTTATAGCTATAGACTTATATGCGGCCATGCTGAAGCTGATGATCCAGCTGTGATGATGCCACCAAGCCACCAAGTCACCAAGTCACCAAGCCAGCAAGCCGTGATGACAGCAGTTTGTTTGAGATAATTAAATGGATGTCATAAAACTAAAATATAATGAAATTAGATGTAGAGTTATGTTACATGCTCCAGCTGAAAATGGCCAAAATGCGATAAAGCCGCTTTTAACAAAAACAAATGACACCAAATAAATAAAAAATCATTAGGAGCGTTTCTTCTGGCTTTCGGATCGCCCATTATGGCTGAGGCGGCCCGCGAGCAGACAAAGACCAAAAACACCAAATAAAGCATCGAGCCAACGAGCAACATTAGAGAACATCAAGCCACAAACCAGATACAGCTAATTTTTCAGCTTTATAGGCGGTTCTGGCTTTGATGTAAGCCAACAAATCAGTAAAACAAATTATTATTTACCAAAATTCAAATATCTAGCTAATAACACTAAAATCGATTTGCCGAAAAAATTCATTCACAACTTGTGACAGGTCATTGAAAACAATAAAAAGCTGGTAAGGATGCTGAAGCAGTGAGTGCTCAACTAGTGGATACCCTGCAGCTGGAACTTCGCCTTTTTTTTTTTAAATAGTGTACTAGATATAAAAATGGAACGTGTGTTTGTAAAGTTTCAAGTATTGAGTCTTGATGCTCCTTCGAAACATTTTTCAAATACAATTTTTATGCATTTTGTTTGTACCCCTTTGCAAGTACATAGGGTATTAAAAACAAAACACAAATTAAACACACAATTATCAAAGGTGTTTTTTTTTTGTTTTTTGCCTTGAATGGGTGACTGCGGCTATGGATGGACATTGGTAAGCAATTATGCTAATGCCTGGCTAAAAATGGCTGACTAAAATCCATAATAAAATAATGAATAGCAGCACAGAAAAGACCGCTGCGAAATGAAACAAGATTCGAAGTCCGACATCTGAAATCTGAAATCGAAAATCAGTTTTAAGACCAACTGTTCACTAGGTTGAAAATGTTTAACATTAATCTTGACTGATAAATTAAAAAAGAATTAATTAATATCAGCGGTGAACACTTGTCGTCTCACATCTCTGCCGCGCTGCTATTCTCGCTGACATTCGGTTTATTTTAATTTTTTTAATCAGTTTGACAGTTTTTTTAACACGAAATTATTTGAGAATTTTTCAGTTGTGTTTTTGTTTTTCTTCTTTTGTACACATTTTTTATACACGATCGTGGGGCTGCTAAATGCGGGCAGAGCGGGTAATCGGGTGTAATTTTTTATGTTTTGCATGCAAAGCACGTAAACACATTGTTAATAATAATACCCAAAATTCAAAATTCAGAACCAACAACTACAGCTGAAACTGCCAACAACACCCCAAAGTCACGCCCCTACAAAACACTTCAATTTACGAGTATTTTTAAGCATTTTGTTTTTTCTCAGTTGGAATCATTTACCCGTTCTTTATGGAGCATTATAATGCTGACAAATTGTTTGTTGTTTAAAAAGGGCTCTGGTCACACCCTCACCAAATAATTTGCATAAATCGGGTAAATATAGAACAACAGGTAAGCTAACTAATAAACAAAATTGCTGAGCAGAGTTTTCATAATTCGTAATGCTTAAGAGATCGCTTCCTGGAACGTAATCTGTCGCGATTTGTATGAAGATATAAGATATATATATATATATATATATATATATATATGTATATTTGGTATACGCCCACTTCGTATAGGGTATCAGCGATTCGTGCTTGAGCTGGCTTAAAATGTTTTTCTTTTTTGCATTTGGCTTGACAGACAAATGTTCAATTTCTACAATTTGTTTTATTTTTTTCGCCTCATTTTTTTGATGTCAACGAACGCTGAAAATTTTCTTTATACTCGTATTTATTTAAAGTAGACAAAATAAATAATACAAAAAATAAGCAAAATACTGAGAAACACGCGCAAAGCGTCGTACGACCGAAATCATATATAAGTATATAGTATATATTCAAATTCTAAACAGTATGCGAATTTCATTATTGAAATACAAATTAGACGGGGCACATAGAATCTTTACAGCAACTGCTTCAAACTCATGGCGCCACATAATAAATGACACAAATTTATTTTTAAAAAATTATACAACAAAATAGCAAGAAACAAAAAACTAGAACTTAAAAAAAACGTATTTTCTGTATAGCACTATAAGAGAATTCAATTCTATTCAAATTGTTCGAATGAGTCTCAATATAGTTCCACAGGGGTTACCCACATGGCCAGAAAGAATCTTATCAGTATTTGTGCTGTAAATATTATATATATATTTATATATATAACTGATCGACAGACTGACTGACTGAAGCCGTAAGAGCTAGGAAGCTTATAGTTTTACTGTAGTTACCTTAGCACGATTAGGCGGGCTTTTGGGAAATTCCACTCGCACCTGTTGAAAATTCGCTTAAAATGGTTGCATGCAACTTTTTTGTTTACCATCCAAACGCTTCAAATTCATTTTCCAATATCTTTGTGAAAAGTGCTTAATGAACAAAGCTTTAATGAACAAAAGTTTTTTCCGGCTTCAAGCTTCAACCCAATGAAAATTTAGCTTTGGGTTCTTATTCAACTCTAATTTTAGGGGCGGAAAATGGTTGGAAAATTGACTCAAATTTGAAGCAAAAATCCTGGACCGGGCAATGCCGGGAAATACCAGCTAGTAGTCTATATATAGCATGGAACATGTGTCGGATCAGACAGCCGTAACGACTTCCTAATACGCAACGAACATTATTTATGAATTACATTTACATATATGAGTTCGTGTTGTTTTTCAATTTACAGCCAGCCACTTGCATTGGCAGCACCGCCTCTCATACATCATACATCGTCCTCGGCTCCATGTAAAGCCTAAGCTCTTTGGAACGCTGATAAAATGCTAATGGATAGTGTGGAATAGTTAATGGCTAGTGCCTGGCAGTCGACGGATGTATTTTGTTAACACAGGCAAAAGTGTCACGTTCCGTCACCCAAACAGATTGATTTAGCTAATTCTCACACCTCGTTGATTGTTCCCAAAGCTTAATTATCCGCAATTAACACACAGCTCGTGTTGTTGGGCACATTCATGTGACAACTTGGCGAATTCCCGTAACTATGACATACAAATATGTGCTGCATTTGCATTAAAACATTTGCAGACTTCCAGCTTACAGAACCATTAGATGCAGCTGCTGCAGATTGCAACAACGAGGACTCATTCATGCCGTGTCGATTTCATAATATCAAATGATAGTTGTATACTTCAAAGATTTTCACGAAGAGTCAATTTGGTGGAATCCCAGTCCCTTGAAATCAAATAACACATTTCATAGTTATGTGAGCTATGTGACTGAAACATCTGACTAAATTCAGGGTTTCTGAAAATTCCGCCCGTGGAAAATTGGCGGAAATCGTTTGTATGAAACTATTTTTCACTCATTTAAAAATACTTTTTTGGAAGAAATGGTAGAACATATCTAAAATGAAGTGTCACCTAAATCTAATATTTAGGGCTGCTATCAAATAATTAAAACAAAAAAAAAACATTAATCATCTTCTGATTCTGCGAATCTGTATAAAACAAGATAACACGTGTTGGCGAACGGAAGCACATGTCTGATGCAATAGCGCAAAATCTTATCGGTCAGACATCAAGAGATGTACCTGTAGTATTTATCTTAATGTATGTATATGTGTAAAATAAGAAATATATGTGTATGTGGTAAAATAAATAGGCCTAACTTCTGACGTAACAGACAATCAGGGAGAGAGAAAAAAGTAAAATCTCATTATGATACACATGATTAGTCAACACATTAGATCTATATCAGTATTGCTTATAAACTGGTTTGATACCCTTATATCGGGCACACGCTTAAATTAGAGCCTATTTCTAATGCTTTTCAATATAACATTGATTAAAAGTGTGGTTTTTCCTGCTAGCTATGGGGATTTGGTGGGTTCCCAAGGGAACTGCTGACAAATCTGTTTCTCTCTTTTTTATACGAAACTCAAACATTTGAAACAATTTGTCCATTTGCTAGATGCCGGCATGCAATGCGCGAAATTGAATTTTTATTATATTTTATTTTATTTTCTTCTCATTTTTTATTTCCTTTTATTTGTTGTTATATTTTTTTTTTTTACTGTCTGTGCAGCGAAGCGTGTGTATTCAAATGCGATGGTCAAAGCGACGACGCTTTCTTTGTGCCTCTTTGAGCTTTATTTACAAAAAGTAAATACAAACAGAATATATATATATATACAAAAAAAAAAAGAAAACAAAAAGAGCGAAGCAGACAAAAAATAGCGACAAATCAACCGAATTTATAAAAGAAATTAAAGAACTCGACAAATCGATGCGAAATCGAAGCAATAAATTAAAATGAGCGAGAGCCCGAAAAGAAAAGACCGAAAAATCCAAAAACGAAGGGCTAGGCACGCCAATGGCAATCTCTATGTTGAAGTATTTACCTGCTTGTCGACCAGCGCGGGCGTATAGATGAATTCCTTTTTGGATGAGTAGACCTCCGGCGGCTTGCCTTTGAAGGAGTATCGCAGGACATTGTCGTCGAGGTCGGCGGCTGGGTCGCTTAAGAATTCATTCAGTCCCTCCAGTTGATTCTGGCTCTCCTGCGCCCTGAATGGTAATTCGCAGGCCTTCGAAGCGGGCTTTGTGCGATTTGGGAACCATCTGTGATCATCGTATAGCCAGCGAGCCTCGTCCGTCTTTGGCATAGAGGTGCTCTCCACGTCGATTTCACGTAGCAGTTGTTGGGCCTCTGCTGCGGCCATTGACTGCTCCGTCCGTGTCGCCGCATTAGACATGGCGGCCTGTTGCTGGGCTTGGAGCTGTTGGAGCTTTTGGAGCTGTGCTGTCAATCACCCGCCAAACAGAGCACGTGCAAAAATGTGCGCGAAAAGTGGCCGAATTTTGTGGCCAGCTACGGCACTTGGCAGCTTTGGGGTCGGTATCGGGCTGGGGCTTGTTAGCCAATTATGTATCTATTATGTTGATTTTGCGGGCTTTGCTTATTTTGTTAATTGAAATGCGCCGGTCGCCGTCCCCGCTGCTGCTGTTGCTGCCGTCACAGCACGCGCACACTCACGCACCCGCTGCTGAGGCTGATGCTGAGGCTGAGGCATAAACCAACATTGATATACAAAATTGTGTCTTGAAGATAACTGCTCTCGGCTGTCGGCTGGCAGCTGATTCTAATCGTATAGGCAGTAGTAGTACTAATTCGTAAAATAAAACGCTTTCAAGAAGTTAGCAACAGTTAGCCAATAAAGAAGCAACAATGAGATAACTACTGATAGGAGACGTACATATGCATACAGGTATAAGATACATATGTACATAAATACATGCAGACAATGTACGTATAAAGTTCGCGCTCTATAACTATAAAGCAGAGCCAAAGAAGTGTCCAATGTTATTTCGCATTTCTTTCTTTTACGAGTCACAGATACACAGGTATGCGCACATAGATACATTTGGCCATACAAGCTCAGTACATGTGTATATCTGTATCTGTATCTGTATCTATATCTGTGTATGTTTATAGATTTTTATGCACTTCATGTATTTATTTTGTTGCTTTTCATGCTGCACATTCAACTTTACTTTTAACAACTTTAGCATTTTTTGACTTTTTATTTCATTATTTGTTTTTCTTTTGCTTTTTTGTTTTAACTTTTTCTCATCGTGGCATCGTTGGCAACATCTAGAGAAGGTTGCCGAGTCCGACTCAAAGTTGACCACACAAGCATACGCACACCACCACACACACAGACACAGTCACATGCAGACGCACAGGTACGCATGCGCATGCATATCCATGTTTATATCCATAGTCACATCCATATCCATGCGCATGGGCAGGGCTATTATCATTACCGTTAGTAGTAGCATAAGCTGTCACGACGCGTAGCCTAACATTATAATTATATGATTTAAGGTACTTGTGGTCAGGAATGGGAATTGATCGACTGCCACACTGCCTGCCAAATTGCTGCGCCCGCAAAATAAAAGACGACAAATATGTCAAAAAACGAAAAAAAGTCGAAAACCTAAAATAAAAAATTCAAAAACGTTTCGCGCGTTGTCGCTCGCTCGAGTTCGCTCTAACGACTACTTCTGCTTATACTCTTGGTCGACTATCAGCAGCAGCAATTTCAATTCTTCGCACACACACACACACAGGCGCGCACGCACACAAGCACACACACGCTTACACTTATACACTGTAGAGTCGACGCTCTCATTTAGCATATCAACGGGCTTTTTTTTGGGCATTTAATCGGCAGAGCTTAATGGATCATGGTTTTATGTCCAGCATGCAAATGCTTCACTACGTCCTGTGTGTCCCGTGTGCAACAGGGTACAATGGCAATGTCTGAATGCCAGAATGCCACCGCATCTCCCTTAGCTGCCCGGCTTGGAGCCGATCCAAACCGAACTGAGCCGAGGTGTGCTTTTACACAATGCCATCGAAAACATGTGGAACGATCTTATATACATATACAGTTAAACAAATACACATGGAGAGGCACATGTCTACGAAACACGATGCGGCGAGCTTTAAAGAGCGCTCGGAAGACTCTCTTAGCACGATCGCCGCTTCGGCAGAATTTTTTTAAAAACACGCTTACGCATTGGCTCTCTGTTGTGATGATAAGTTTTATTTTTCAGTTTCTGTAATCTCCGAATTCTCAGATGATTTTACTTCTCATTTGCCGACTTTTTACCTGTGTCTCTGGGTAAAGTACATGTACGAATGCCCTTTAGATAATATTTGTTAAGTAATATTATTAAGAGCTGGCATTAAAGTGAAATTTATCTTTTTACCTAATTTTTGTCAACGATAGCTGCTTATCCGTACAACCATAATATTTATTTTAACTTTGTAACGTGAATGAATGTCTGTATTGTACACGCTTTAGATCAAACACCTTACAGAATTATGGCTCACGATAGAAGATATGGGGGAAGATAAAACTTTTTGCTATACAAAAACACTTTTTTTCGACCGATTCTTCCCATAGAGCTATAAAGAAGTCCGATGCTGATAAGATTTAACTCAGCTTAGTGAAACCAATAAGTGTGGTTAAAATATCTTGACAAGCAAAAAGTTTGCTCATACAAAAAAAAACTTGATTTTCGACCGATCGTTTCTATTACAGCTACTTGATATAGTGGGCCGATTTGGACCAAATTTTGCTTATGTTTAGGGAGCATATTGAAAGAAATAAATGTGAAACTAATAATTAGTATAGTCGTACCTGAAAGTTTAAGTAATCGATGCTATTTTGTATATTTCAGTTGGTGAAGTTTCGGCTTTTAAGTCAATTCCAGTGATATTTAGGAAAACTCATTTGAAAGATGCTTCATACCTTATACAAGATCGGCCCACCCGAAAAGTGGGGGTCAAAATTATTTTGAAAAACTCTGCATAAAAACACGCTTCCGTAACATTGGAACATTTTCGAAAAATGTTGCATGCAATTTTTGGATGTACCAAACAATCAGCCTTTAAGATCTTTGGGATCAACATAATTTCGTGGTAAAAAATACAAGTGGTATAAACGAAAAATAATTTATTTTTAAATTAATTAAAATTTACATAATTCATGGTTAGGAAATGGGTGGAAAAGTGATGCCTAAGGTCTGAAGCAAGGTCGAAAAATACAAGCTAATAATATGAAATATTTGTAACTTGTAAAATAACAATGCGTATAAATGTTAAATTAGTTGGTCGCCTCTTTGATTTGAGTCAGCTTACAGCTAGTTTTATAACATTCGTATCAGTCTGACCTCATCAGAGGCCCAAAATAGCTTGACTCTAGCAATATCATATTTATAAGTACTAAAAACAGTTCTTCGTATATTGTTTCTATGCGAAATTACCATATGTAGCAATTGACCTTTTTGCATGTAGAAATATTCTCTTTAATCAAACGCAGCAGCCGAAGCATTAATCAATTAAAAGACGAGCGCTCGTTAGCCATATTAAAATATAGTTGAAAATTAAAAATCCATTTCGCAAAACTCTTGCTCTGCGGTCATAAAAAATGCTCTAAATTATTATTTTTTGTTTTTCAATTCGGAAAAGCTCGAATGCCAATGAATACCAGGGAACAGAGCAAGGTCTAAAATTGCAGACGCCTTTGCTGCAACAAGGCGTTGCATAGGGGCTCAACAACGTGCAACACATGTTGTGTAATTAACAACAGTCAAATTCGAATTACAGGCAGGAAAACGAAAACAACATAAAACAGAAGCCAAACAGCAAATGTTACAAAACATCATTAAAAAATTTCATCTTCAAATACCCTGCATTGATCGCACTAAGGATGCAATGTGATGATAAATATGCTTATTATAACATCTGTTTATTAGAAACAATTTATTTATATCAACCAAACTTTCTGAATAGCTCTGGCTAAGATTGTCATTGGGTACGAAATAATCTGGCGTGAAGACCCAAACTCAATCTCCATTGTTCAGTCAAGGAAAGCGATGATATATATAAATGTTATCCAAGAAAGAGGACTTTTATCCGATATACAGGGTATGTACCCATCGCGTATTCGTAACAAGAGCATAATTATTATTCACTTGTTTTTTAGGAAGTTCTCAACAAGTCACAGAAGCTGAAATACCCTTACAATGAAAATACAACAAGATTGCTAAAGGATGTTACAGAAGACTTTTAGCTGATAAAATTATAGCAAAGCGCATGTCATTAAACATTGCCCTGTCAAACGGAATGAAGAAGTCATGGTAGCCTGCATAAGGTAGGCACATACATAGTCCAAAAACGGGCAGAACAGGGCGCAGATGTTAATAATCAAACGCACTTGAGACAACGAAGACAGCAGAGTTTCTAAGGCGAAATCAACTGATGCTGACCACAGTATCCGCATCTATTTGTAGCTGGCCCAGTCTATCATCTTAGTAATTAACGCATTTAGATCATTTAGAATTGCCGACAGCACGCGCAGCCATCAACTTTTGTTTAGTATTAAATGCCAAAATATCTGATGCTGGGCAATCTACAATCCACAGATCTACAGCAATCGCATCTTACGGATGCAATTTTTCCGCACGGGTCAGCGGCGGGATCGCCCAAACTGAACTCTCTCTCTCTCTCCTCTCTCTCTCTCTCTATCGGGGCGCAACTTAAGTCCAAATTTAGATGTGTATAGTATTACGTATATGGACCTTCATCTATACTGACAGACAGTGCGTCTGTTTATCCGACCGTGCGGCCAGCACGCGCTGGCCTCTTAGTCACTTTGGGGTTGTGCCTGAGAGTGCGAGTGTGTGCTGTGTGAGCTCCAATGTTTAAATAATTTGATGCGGCTCTTGCTCGTTTTCTGTATTTCTTCATTTGTATTTTTTTTTTTTTTTTTGCTAGCATACTTGATTAATAAATATTGATCCTGATTGAATGATGGAAAGCTTACGAATACTTAAATGACCATGCGGCGAGCGGACAGCGACCAGCTGAGAGATGGGAGCTATAGAGGCCAAGCAAACTATTATTATTATGAGCTCAAGTTTTGAAGTTCGTTTGGCAGCTGCTCAATCAAATCAAATATTTGGGCTAACTAAACACAAACCTTTTTGACATTCACCCCCTCTTGCCGTTACCATTGTCGTCATCGTATCGAAGATGTATATATTTTCAAAGTGCGCAAAAATCAAACTCAATTACGTGCGCTGTCAATCAGCGGCAGGAATCGAAATCGGAATCGGTCCAAGACATGCGTAAGAGCATGTCAGTGCGTGGCCACTGCCCGCTGGCGTATGTATCTTAAAGATACATTTCGCTTAAGTGTTGCGCATAGATCATCCATTCAACTAAGTCCACATATGTACATTTATAGATTCATTGCACGCGTCCGACAGCAGACAGATTTTTTAGAATCATTCCCAGATGGCGATGTGCGTTGACCCTGAGACAAACGCCCACGCAATGCGCAAATATAAACTAATGTATATATACAATATATATGTATGTGTGTATAAAGAAAGAGAGAAGGAAACTGTGTATGTCTGTGTGCGTGTGTGGAGATCTAGACTATAGGGCATGCAAATTAGAAGCACAGACTTGCAAATATATTCTTATAAATATCAAGATGGCAAAGACTTCAAATAAAACACTTGAGGAATCGACTTTGATATACACCATTATACGAAACGATCCACTAGATGCTGTCTTATCAGAATCCATTGATGAGTTAATTACGACCAATGTCTGCCCAACATAAAATTCACATTAAAGTACTGTACACTCAGTATCCCATGGACATACATATTGCCCATATAAAATTGCAATATAAAATAATAACATATGTGAGTTTAATGTGAGTTATTGCTGAATACTCTTTCCTGCAGATCGTCAAGGTTTGTCAACGCTTTGAACTGCGAAAAGACAACTATTCTTTGAATAATGTTGGAAGAAAATAAGCATGCATAAAATACTCTGTTTAACAGTTTTTGTCCAAATTGGGATTAGATAATTAGTTTAGAAGTTATATTTAAAAATATCTAACATATTCAAAATATAGATGTCAATATAAACAGGGGCAGACACTTTGAAGAGAATGTTTTACCAAATTAAAATCGAAGGAATATTAATGAATTTATTCCACACAAGAGGCTTGGATTTTCCGGGGGTGAGTGGCAACTCTCAAAGATCCTTAGAGAGGAACTCGATGCTGGTCGGAAGGTAAGCAAAATAGTTTAATTCAATTATTTTCCGCTATATTGCTACACATTAAAGCAGATTTTATCAAAAGCTGGCTTTAGAAACCAAGTTTAAAAAGGAGCAGAAACTATAATAAATATGGTCTATCGACATAGAGTCGAAGAAAGATTTACGAATTAAATGTGTTATAGTTGTATCAATTACTTAGATATATGTTAGCTCACGCTAAAGTAGATCATATATTCAACATTTCCAAACATATTAAAACTTAACATCCGCACATCTTAACATTGTTAGTAATAAGGTAAAGTTGTTAGTAGTAGCAAACAGTATGGTAGTATTTGGCCATCGTTCTACAGTTGTAACTCATTATACCTTTCATTTGTAATACATGCACAATCGATCACTGACAGGTCTTTTTATGCATAATCAACTATGTCATCGATTGTTGCCTTTGCACGTTCTTACAATAAGTTAAATAGCTCTGTTGGAAATTAAACAGCAAACGATGCAGTTGTGCCTTTTCTGGAAAACAACCGCCTTTTTTATTAAAGACTCTACAAGCACCTCTAGACCCGACTTGCCAGTTAATATACAGCTAGTTAAGCTTTACAAATTATAGCGCGAATTGCGATTAGACGCTTAGCTAGGGAGTTCTTGGTCATATACAAATTTTTAAAATTTAGATATCAAATTAAAAAAGGGAATGGTCTAAAATAAAATCAGAGGTATATCACGGACTAAAATGAATGTTAGTTGTATTAGTTGTAGACATCCGTTTTTATAAGGCTTTGATGCTCGACCTGGGCTAGTTTTTAGCAAATGTCTGGATATCTCCAAGTCTATCAATTGCTAGAGAACAGTTTTCCTGTTTTTGTTGTGCGGTTGCGACTGCATGTTTATAAATCATTATGACAATTTGCTGGCGCTACCGTAGCTAGAGACTGTGCCCCTTGCAACTGGCTAACCCCGCTGGCATTATGCAAGAAACTGGCGAAGAGCTCACAATATAATTAAAATGCGCGTCAAATGCTTAAAGTCGATAGTTCAAGGCAGCTGAAGGTGTAAACCTCAGCTGTTTTTGGTTGCTTAAGGCGGAATTCACGTCGAAGAGACAGAGTTAGGCAGCTGCAGCCAACAGCTGTGCCTATCGCCAATGATGATCAATTGAAGCCACAGCTAAGTGGCAAGTGGCAAGTGGCAAGGTGTGTGTGTGTGTTGGTGTGTGTTAAAGTTGTCGGCTTATCGAGTACCATATGCAATTCTATGGAATAAGCCCATTTCACATACCATAAACAAGAGCTTAAACTTAAGCAATCAGACATAAGCCGCTCACATCAGTTTCTGCTTGGCCGTCTGCAATTGGAGAGCTGCTCCGTTCACAGCCAAAATCGCATTCGCGAACTCTTGCTGCTGACAAAGCGCAGAATCGACACATATGCATACAACATTTTCGGCTGGCTCTTTTATTTCTAATATCTCTTGGCATTTAATGCATATTCATAAATTTCATAAATATATATATATATATATGTATATACATACATATATGTGCATTCAATTTCGTTTTCGGAATCAATGAACCAAGAAACTAATGAGAAATACAACATTGCACTTCTTATATCGGGGCTTAGAGCTAACAATTTATATGTCGATTCATTGAACAAAACAAACACAATGTTTCAATTGAAGCGCACAAACAGACATAATGCTGCATTGCTGTAAGTTGAGATTCAGTTACATGCATATATTTAGATGTGTATACATAAGTATATATATATATATATATATATATATATATATATGTAAGTAGGATATGTCTTTTTATTCTTCTACATTGGTTGACAACAGCAACTCAATCAACTATGATCACAGGAATTGGGAGTTTTTTCAAAACATTTTTGAAATTAGATGCCTGTTTAGCAAGTGCCAGAAATTACAATTACATTGCTCTATTATTAAAATCAAAAGAATATTGAAGGCATTTCAGTTACATAAATTGAAATGATCACAAGTTTCAGCCCACATTGCGATTGGACGGTAAGCTAAGGAGTTAAGGAGTTATTAAAGATTTTTTCCAAAAATTTAGATGCCAATTAAAAATCCGAAAAAATATTTTAGAATTTTTGGACATTTTGATTATATTAATTAAAATTTACTGATCAAAAGGATTGAATTGGCATCTGTATTTTCACAAATTTTTTGGAAATAAATATTAGTAAATTTTACTACTAATATGCCTTTTTAATCATTAAAGTTCTTTCGATTATCCGGTAGACCATTTTAAATATATTTTTAATTTGCAAAGATTTTTAACTTGACTTGACATGTGGAGCTCATGATATTACGGGAAGATTTAACTTTTCGACGACCGTGAAATTGGGAATTGATGTCAAAAATATGAAGCAATTAACTGGAACTGGGCAAGACCAAGAAATACAATTTAGTATGATATAATACCAATAGTTAAAGGAATCGCATAGTAAGATAATTTTTAAAATTACTTTATTATTTAATATGCAACCTATCGAGGGAAGTTGAAGGAGCGAGTAAACTTGCCATTACATACCATACCAGAAAAATACCTCATCAGAAAAAGAATAAATAAAAAAAAATTCGTACATATGTATGTTGCATACATGCATGCACACAAAAAAAGTGAAAAAGCAAGTGGTAAATCACGTTTTGAATAATATTTTAAATAGATGCTAACAAAATAAGATAAACGTCTATCATGCGAGACGAGAAAAGTATGCAACATTTTGTGTTCAGAAGAGAAGTTGCCGAAAAACATAACGTTGTTCAAGACATATAAGTTCAGTACCCAACTTTGACGCCTTTTCCAACACTGCTCAATGACAGCCGAACAACCACCTAGGGTAACTTTCAAGTGAATGAAAGCCAGTTTAAACAGAACGCAACGTCAGAACAGTCGCTAAAATGTACGAGGGCGAGGAAACGGGTTACCAGGACAACGATAACGACAACAAAGTGTCACCCAAACAAAAACAAAGAAAAACCAAGAGAACACCAAGTGTTCAAAAAGTAAATGATCCAGGTGTGAAAACCCCGGCCAGCTATTTTACTCTATGCATAACGGGTCAAATAGTTTCGGCCACATTTCCACTGGGTCCAGACAAGGATTACATATTGTGTCGCTACGAGCTGGTCGCAGGCCCGGATTGGCAATTGGCATCTGGCCCGCAACACGGCATCACACAGATGGCAACCATCAAGAGAGGCCACTTTAATGACAAAATCGTCTTCAATATGCCCATCGAAGTGTCATACAAGAGCACCAGTCCTTTCGGCTGTAAGTAGATGGGAACTCGACCTGATTCGGTTGCTCTTACACTGAAATCTTTGCAGGGCCACAAATTATAGTCAGCGTGTATGGACAGAATGGACACGGTAGCGAGAGTTTGGTTGGCTATGCACGCGTGCATATGCCCATCTTCGGAAGCCGGCGACAGGATGAGCAGACGTCCAGCTTAAGTGAAGCACCTATCCTAATGCCCAAATGCCCGAATATGATAGCCGATATAACCAGTTGGTTGTTGCGGCGCCAGCCGGAGCTTAAGGATCCCAAAATACTGCTGGACAACACGCAATGCAAGGGTAGGTTATAGTATCTTAGAAGTATGTAAAGTGCTTCCTGCTCATCATTCAAATTTGTATATGCTCGCTTCAGGTCTGTCCATGGAATCATATGGCACCCTGGAGTTCCAGCTGAATACGGTTATGAGAGGAGCTCGTAAGCTGGGTTACAATTGGCATGCCTGAATTCGGATCGAATCGGATATATATCCGATATCCGATACATATCCATGATGTGAATAAAACGTAAATTTGACGACGCTGCTTTCAGCGAAGCGACTAAGAATTTGTCCTAATCAAATTGCCTTTGCGGGGCGGGGCGGGGGGTTGTTGCCTTAAACTTGGCCATGACTTGGATGAATGACGCGTTTGTTGCTGTTTACACTAATCCGACGCAGCAAATTTACAGCAATTGGGAAGTAAATTTAAAATTTAGCTACTTTGGATTGTCCAAGTGTGTGCCAGGTAATTGGATTAGGTGGCAATTAGTCTAAGACTGGCTAGACTCAAGTGTTTTCTAAGGGCCGTCGCATATAAAGGCAGCCCAACTATCCGGCCCAGGGCAGTCGCGTCCAGCTCGGCGCCAAGAGAAATCTTTAAATTATTTTTATCTGCTATGGACAGTTGTGCGGAGTAGCTATCCTAGCCACCCTAAGTACAAACGAAGCTCGACCACCGAAAATAACTCAACTCCTTAGTCAGAGACGGAGTGTATTCTCAATACGGCTTAATCATGATAAGTCTGAACCATCCAACTTATGCGCATCTGCGCAATGGCGGAAATCTTAGCCTGGCGGAGAGCGTTCCCGCCGAAATCATGCACATGGTGGATCCGTATTGGTACCAGTGGCCACCAATGGAGCCCATGTGGTTCGGCATTATAGGCTTTGTCATTGCCGTGCTGGGGTAATATACAAATTTCTTTAGCATTAGTTGAACATTTCAATTGATTTCAATCGTCCAAACCCAAGAGTGATGTCACTGACGGGCAACTTTATTGTGATGTACGTGTTTACGTCGTCCAAGTCGCTGCGAACACCATCCAACATGTTTGTGGTTAATTTGGCCTTCTCCGATTTCATGATGATGTTCACCATGTTTCCACCCGTCGTCCTAAATGGTTTCTATGGCACCTGGATCATGGGTCCGTTTCTGTGCGAGCTCTACGGCCTCTTCGGTTCCCTCTTTGGCTGTGTATCCATCTGGTCCATGACACTGATTGCCTACGATCGTTACTGCGTCATTGTCAAGGGCATGGCACGTAAGCCTCTGACGGTGACGTCGGCTGTGCTCCGTCTTCTGATCGTTTGGACAATCTGTGGCATATGGGCTCTTATTCCTCTGTTCGGCTGGAATCGATATGTGCCCGAGGGCAATATGACGGCCTGCGGCACAGACTACTTTGCCAAGGATTGGTGGAATCGCTCCTATATCATTGTCTACTCCATGTGGGTCTATCTCACTCCACTGCTGACAATCATATTCTCATACTATCATATATTAAAAGTAAGAATCTAAAGCCAAATTATATATTATGATACTCATTAATCCCGATTCCCAGGCAGTGGCCGCCCACGAGAAGGCAATGCGTGAGCAGGCCAAGAAGATGAATGTGGCCTCTCTGCGCAACACCGAGGCAGAGAAAAGCAAGGCCATCGAAATCAAACTGGCCAAGGTAGCATTGACCACAATTTCGCTTTGGTTCTTCGCCTGGACGCCCTACACAATCATCAATTACGCGGGCATCTTTGAATCAATGCATCTATCGCCACTTGCCACAATTTGTGGCTCGGTTTTCGCCAAAGCAAATGCCGTTTGCAATCCAATTGTTTATGGCTTAAGGTAAGGCTTTCAATATATATACCAGTTTTGTATTTTATCTCTTTTTGTTAGTCACCCGAAATACAAGCAGGTGCTCAAGGAGAAGATGCCTTGCCTGGCTTGCGGCAAAGATGAGTTTGCCTCAGACTCCAGGACCCAAGCCACCGCAGAGATTAGCGAATCTCAAGCTTAGACAAAGTAACGACGACTGCAACAGACGACGAGGCTAACAGGGAATATGACGACATGTGATTTTTAGACACAGGAACTGACAGCTTTACAACATTTCAACAACAGCCTATATGGATTTGTTCCAATTGGTATATGTACCAAGCCTACCTTTGCATACAAACACAAAAATCTAAAAAAAAAAAGTTGGCATTTAAAAATGTAAAAAAAATGGAAACACAATTTAAGAAATTAAACTGCAACTGATACAAAATCAAACAAAATGAACATTTTTTGGAATTGCCAATTGATTTAAACTAAATGTATCAAATGCTTTTTAAGCACTTTGCCCCAAAGAGTTTTACGCCTTTTATTAAAAAATTAACACTTCAAACATTCGCATCGTTGTCATTGTCGCTTGGATAGATCAGAGGATTTGTTTCAGCCATAGTAGTTGCCCATGTCCAGGTCGATTAGGGTGCCATTATTGCGGCGCTCGCGCAGCTCCTGCGTGAAGAGCGCGCGTCCTTGCAACAATATAAAGTCTATAAGCCGTTTATTGGAGCTAAGACGCAGTGCATCGGGATCGGTGCGTTTGCGTAGGTAGTTGAAGCAACAGGTACTGTGAAACGATAAAAACGCATCAGACGGCGATTGAAGGCTGCGATTGCGGGAACTTACCGAACATTTTTTGTTCCGCAAGCGTTGGCACACTCCTTGCCACAGGAGTCGCATTGCATGGCATTGGAGCAGGCAAAATACATTAAGCACATGCCTGCAAAAGTAAGTCATTATAAAACCAAGACAGACCTGGGCAAATACTCACCTAGCAATATGATCTGGAAATGCATTTCGTCGCAACTCGTCTGAATCTTTAAATGAAAGTGTAGCTCACCAAGTTATGAAACTCATAGGAAGTCTTGTGATGGCCTCACTCGAGTCATACAGCAGCAGCAACTAAAAGGACTGAGCTCTCGGTGAATCTGTTTTTATACAGGTCCACAGATCCAAAACACACCCACAAACACACACACTTATAACCACAACGGTTGAGCGTAGCAGTTAAATTCAAAGAGGTCATTCAAGCATGCTGCAGGACAGTAACTAAAGAGATACATCCAAGTGTCTGGACATGTGATGCATAATAAATTTTCCTTACACAGACACCCCTAAACGCACAATTGCAACTTGCGCAACAAGTTTATGTAGCATACTTTTGAAGCTGGCTATGTGAGTGTGGGTGTGTGCATCAGTGTGTGGGCTTACCGCAATCAAAACATTTTGTAAGAGATAATAAAAGTTTTGAATGGACCTGCCGAGAGACAGCTTATGCATGTAAATGACATTAGAAATCAATGGCTACATGAAAAGCTCGTAAAAATAGCCAAAGCAGCACGTATAGCGATTTCTTCTTCACTTTAACTTTAACGCCTTATAATATATTATATTTTTATAAATCTTTTTTATTAACATATAAGCTTCCATTTAAATTTCCCTCTTCAAATTTTTGTTCTTACGATATACGATATAATAATACGAACTGGCCTACTAATTTGCCCAGGTGGCAACGCTGAAGCATAGATGCAACAGCTGTGCTACAACAGCTGCGACAGCGTCGAACCGAATTTTAGCAGAAAATTTCAATTTCTTAGATAAAACAAAAACTAGGGAACCATGTGGGAGCCTCCTCGACTGAGTGCATCGTTACGAGCCAAAACGGAACTTGAATCAAGAACCCCCCGCTTCAACGGACTGAGACATGTCAGAGCGAAAATATTAGCATCCACGCCGACAAATTGCAAAGAGTAAGCCGCTGCTATTTCACAACTGATAAATTTCCAATTATATTCACACACAACGTAATATGATTTTTTAAAGAAACGCGGAACAGACGATAGCAAAATTGCTGGCACAGTTGCCGACGGATAAACAGCCAGCGGCAAAGGTTCAGCTGCAGAAGCTGCGCAATCTGGTCCAGGAATGCATGGGTTATGAGGAGCAGCCGAAAGTGGTGGAACACGCGACACTGTATCTATTCTGGTCGCTGCTTGATCAGCGCGTGCTGCTGGTGGCCACCACTAACCGACTGCACGCAATGTTTGGATACACTTTCGACCGGAAACAATCGCAAATACACAACTGTGTGCTGGCCATAGCCGATGCACTGCAGGAGCATGAGTTGCTTGCCTTAAAGCGCTGGCGGCAATCACAGCACAGGACGTCGGAAGATCGTCCACTTTGGGGCGAACATGTGCACGTGAGCTGTAAGCAGGCGGAGTGGCTGGATGTTGGCTTGCTGACAAACCTGTCGCCCGATGCACTGCTCAAAAATAAGGTCGTCAACAAATTCACCATGAAATACAAGACCGGCGGTGCAGCAGTGCCAGCTGCAAAGCAGGTCACGGATGGATTCAAACTAAGCCCGGAGCTGGAGACACTGCTGAACATAGCTCAGAAAATTGAAGATGAGCTGTTATTAAATCGCGTGGGCGATATGCTTAGTTCCAAGCGCAGCAGTGAGGAATTGCAGAACGAGCTAATGGAACTGCTGGGCTTTGAGCACTTCGAACTGGTTGGACAGCTGCTACAGGAGCGCTCCAAGATTGCACAGCAGTTGGAGCACTACGCAACGAGATCTCGTCGCATCAAACAGGTGAAGCAAAAGCGGCAGCAGCCTGCTGCCAGCTCAGAAAAGCGTCCCACGGTAGCCAGCGCAGTTGTGGTGCAATCGGCACAGGAAAAGCAGTTGGGTAAGCAGCAGCGTCGCGAGGAAAAGAAACTCCAGCGCATTATGCGCAGCATCAAGGACGATGACGAGGCTGCCGAGGAAGCGGGCGGCGCCGTTGCCATTTCCGCGCAGCAGCTGCGAATGCAACATCAGCGCAAACTGCTGGAGGCAGCACAACGAGAACCGCTGCTGCTCAGCACCAAAGCGGTTAAGGCCGAGCACTCAACCTACACTCCACCCATACGCTATCCATACGTCTTTGACAGCCAACTGGAGGCCAAACAACATGCCGGCTTCATAGGCGGCAGCCGCATCACGTTACCCGAAAATGCGCAACGCATAGACAATAAGCAGTGGGAGGAGGTAAAAATTCCAGCCAGCGAGCCGCCGCCTCTTACAGTGGGTAATCAGCGCATTAAAATCGCCGAACTGGATGACATTGGCCAAATGGCATTTGCCAACTGCAAGGAGTTAAATCGCATACAATCGGTAGTTTATCCTGTCGCCTATCACAGCAACGAGAATATGCTAGTGTGTGCGCCGACTGGCGCTGGAAAAACCAACGTGGCCATGTTGGCCATTGTGCACACCATTCGCTGTCATTTGGAGGAGGGCGTCATCAATCGAGATCAATTTAAAATTGTCTACATTGCGCCTATGAAGGCGCTAGCCGCCGAAATGGTCGAGAACTTTTCCAAGCGCCTGAAATCACTGCAGATTATCGTGCGGGAGTTGACCGGCGACATGCAGCTGACCAAGGCAGAAATGGCCGCCACCCAAATACTGGTTACCACTCCAGAGAAATGGGATGTTGTCACCAGAAAGGGTAAGCAAATAAATAAAAAATCCAACCGGATAATCTTACATTTATAAACACAATGCAGGTAGTGGTGATGTGGCGCTAATTAGTCTCGTTCAACTTCTGATTATTGACGAGGTGCATCTGCTGCACGGTGAGCGTGGTCCCGTGGTGGAGGCATTGGTTGCGCGCACTTTACGTTTGGTAGAGTCCTCGCAGTCCATGATACGCATCATTGGTTTGTCCGCGACGCTGCCCAACTACATAGATGTTGCCCACTTTCTGCGCGTGAATCCCATGAAGGGTCTGTTCTACTTTGATTCGCGCTTCCGACCCGTGCCCCTGGACACTAACTTCGTTGGCATCAAATCGGTAAAGCCGCTGCAACAAATCGCTGACATGGATCAGTGTTGTTACCAGAAATGCGTGGAGATGGTTCAGCAGGGGCATCAGGTCATGGTTTTTGTGCATGCACGTAATGCCACCGTTCGCACGGCAAATGTGCTGCGCGAACTGGCGCAGCAGAACAACACCAGCGCGATGTTTTTGCCAAAGGATAACAATGCACATGGCCTGGCCTGCCGCTTCATACAGAAGAGCAGAAATAAACAGCTAGTGGAACTGTTTTCCAGTGGTCTGGCCATGCATCACGCTGGCATGCTCCGTGCCGATCGCCAAATGGTGGAGAAATACTTTATAGAGGGTCACATCTCAGTGCTGGTCTGCACGGCGACGCTCGCCTGGGGTGTCAATTTGCCTGCCCATGCGGTCATCATACGCGGCACGGATATTTATGATGCGAAACACGGCAGCTTTGTAGATCTGGGCATACTGGATGTGCTGCAGATCTTTGGACGCGCTGGCCGGCCGCAGTTCGATAAAAGCGGTGTGGGCACTATTATAACCAGCTACGACAAGCTCAATCATTATCTCTCCCTGTTGACCAATCAATTCCCTATCGAATCCAACTTTGTGCAGTGCTTGGCTGATAATCTGAACGCTGAAATTGGTCTGGGCACCATTTCTAATGTGGAGGAGGCCATCGAGTGGCTAAGCTATACGTGAGTAGCTCTCATCCTATATCCTAGTATTATCCAATTGATATATATGTTGATAAATCTCCCATAGCTACCTCTTTGTGCGCATGCGTATTAATCCACATGTCTATGGCATTGAGTACGCTGAGCTGCAAAAGGATCCAACGTTAGAGGCGCGCCGACGCGCTCTTATTATGTCTGCATCGATGAGCTTGGATAAGGCCAAGATGATGCGGTTCAATCAGCGCACCATGGACATGAATATAACCGACTTGGGTCGTACTGCCTCGCATTTCTACATAAAATACGATACGGTGGAAACGTTCAATGAACTGATGAAGCCATACATGAACGAATCCGAGCTGCTAGCCATGATGTCACAGGCGCAGGAGTTTCAACAGCTCAAAGTGCGTGACGACGAGCTCGAGGAGCTAGATGAACTGCGCGAATACTATTGCAAGCTGAAAGCATTTGGAGGTAGCGAAAATGTTTGCGGCAAGGTATGGATACATCGGTTTTTTGTACCAGTTCCACAATGATTTACCTTATTCACTCTCTTTCCAGGTGAACATTTTAATACAAACATATCTGTCCAATGGTTATGTCAAGTCCTTCTCATTGAGCTCCGACATGTCGTATATAACCCAAAATGTTGGCAGAATCGCGCGCGCTCTGTTTTCCATTGTGTTGAGGCAAAACAATGCCACTTTGACGGGTCGCATGCTGCAGCTTTGCAAGATGTTTGAGCGCAGACAATGGGACTTTGATAGCCATTTAAGACAATTTCCGGCAATTAATGCGGAGACCATTGACAAACTCGAACGTCGCGGACTGAGCGTTTATCGACTCAGAGATATGGAGCAGCGTGAGCTGAAAGAATGGCTGCGCAGCGATCGTTATGCAGAGCTAGTCATACGATCGGCACGGGAACTGCCGCTGTTGGAGGTGGAGGCCAGTTTGCAGCCCATCACACGCACCGTGTTGCGAATCTCTATAACGATCTGGCCGGATTTCACCTGGAACGATCGGGTACATGGGAAGACGAGTCAAGCATTTTGGCTGTGGATCGAGGACCCGGAGTCCAACTACATTTATCATTCGGAGCTGTTTCAGCTGAATCGCAAATGCGTTTTTAACGGTCAGTCACAGCAGCTCGTGATGACCATTCCGTTGAAGGAGCCACTGCCACCACAGTACTACATACGCGTTACCAGCGACAGCTGGCTGGGCAGCACCACCTGCGTCCCGCTATCTTTTCAGCATCTGGTGCTGCCGGAACATCATCCGCCGCTGACCGAGCTACTGCCGTTGCGTCCGCTACCAGTTAGCAGCCTGCACAATGCTCTTTACGAATCGCTGTACAAATTCACCCACTTCAACCCCATACAGACACAAATCTTTCACTGCCTGTACCACACGGACAACAATGTGCTGCTGGGCGCACCCACAGGCAGTGGCAAGACAATTGTCGCGGAAATAGCCATTTTTCGTGCGGTAAATATGCAGCCCAAATGCAAGGTGGTGTACATAGCACCGCTTAAGGCGCTCGTCAAGGAACGCATCGCGGACTGGCAGCAACGCTTCGAGCGCTCATCACTGGGTCTTAAAGTCGTTGAACTGACAGGCGATGTCACACCGGACATTCAAGCTATTCGCGAATCGCAGTTGATTGTGACCACGCCGGAGAAATGGGACGGCATCAGTCGCTCCTGGCAGACGCGCGAATATGTGCAACATGTGGCTTTGATTGTGATCGACGAGATCCATCTTCTGGGCGACGATCGTGGTCCGGTTATCGAAGTCATTGTTTCCCGCACCAACTTTATCAGCTCACACACGGGCCGCTCCATACGCATAGTGGGGTTGTCCACGGCACTGGCCAACGCTCAGGATTTGGCCAATTGGTTAGGCATTAAACGCGTGGGTCTCTACAATTTCAAGCCCTCAGTGCGACCGGTGCCGCTACAAGTACACATCAATGGCTTTCCAGGCAAGCACTATTGCCCGCGAATGGCCACAATGAACCGGCCCACGTTCCAGGCCATACGCACATACTCTCCATGTGAACCCACCATTGTGTTTGTCTCTTCGCGCCGACAGACGCGTCTCACGGCGCTGGATTTGATCACATTTGTGGCTGGCGATGAAAACCCCAAACAATTCCTGCACATTGCCGAGCACGAAATGGAGCTGATTCTCCAGAACATACGCGACCAGAACTTGAAATTTTGTCTGGCATTTGGCATTGGACTTCACCATGCTGGTTTGCAGGAGCCAGATCGCAAGTGTGTTGAAGAGCTATTTTTGAATCGTAAGATACAGGTTCTAGTGGCCACCGCCACCTTGGCCTGGGGTGTCAATCTGCCTGCCCATCTGGTGGTGATCAAGGGTACCGAATACTTTGACGGCAAGGTAAAGAAGTACGTGGACATGCCCATTACAGATGTGCTTCAAATGATGGGTCGTGCTGGACGACCACAGTTTGACAACGAGGGAGTTGCCGTCGTTCTAGTGCATGATGAAAAGAAGAACTTTTACAAGAAGTTTCTCTACGATCCCTTCCCTGTTGAGTCCAGTCTGCTGGGTGTGCTGCCGGAGCATATCAATGCTGAAATTGTAGCGGGCACAGTGCAGACCAAGCAGGCGGCACTGGACTATCTGACTTGGACATACTTTTTCCGACGACTGCTTCGCAATCCATCCTACTACCAACTGCAAGGCGTGGAGCCTGAAAATGTTAATGCCTTCATGTCCAGCCTGGTGGAACGCGTTGTCTACGAACTAACAGGCGCTGCTTGCGTAGTGGAGCGTGATGGACAACTGGTGCCAACTTTTTTGGGTCGCATCAGCTCCTACTACTATCTGTCGTATCGCACAATGAAGCATTTCTTGGATGACTTACAGCCGGGCATGAACACCAAGGAGGTTCTGCTGGCCATCGCCGATTCCTATGAGTTTGATCAGCAGCCTGTGCGACACAACGAGGACAAATATAACGAACAGATGGCCGAGACGAGTCGCTTCCGGCCGCCATCGGCCAGTTGGGACTCGCCCTACACAAAGACATTCCTGCTGCTACAAGCGCACTTTTCGCGCCAGACGCTGCCCAATTCGGACTATCTGACGGACACCAAGTCGGCACTAGACAATGCAACGCGTGTCATGCAAGCCATGGTGGACTACACTGCGGAGCGCGGTTGGCTATCGACCAGTCTGGTTGTACAACAATTGATGCAGTGCGTCATTCAAGCACGTTGGTTCGACGCATGCGAATTTCTTACGCTGCCCGCCGTTAACGAGGCCAATGTGGATGTGTTCCTTAACATACAGCACGAGAATCACGATTACCTAACACTTCCCGTCCTAAAAGAACTATGCAGAAAGGACTACGAAGTGCTGGCAGCACCGCTGCGAGATGCCTTCGAAGAGCACGAGATCGAACAGATGTACAGGGTAAAGTTTTAATATTCTACAGCGGTTGCAAGACATGTCCAAACTAACAACGTTTTTTTACCAGGTTATTCAAGACTTGCCGGAAATCTCGCTACAAATCTCTGTGGAGGGTCGGTATCTGGATAAGGAGTACGCCAAACGTCCGATATCAATTACCCATGGTTCAATCAACTGGACACCGCTACATGCGAACGAGGACTATGTGCTGTGCGTCGATCTGCAGCGTTTGAATGTTGCCGGGCAGCGTAGAACTGGCGGCCAAGGTTACGCCATACACTGTCCCAAGTATCCAAAGCCAAAAAACGAGGCTTGGTTCCTAACACTCGGCTCGCAGTCCAATGACGAGCTGCTGGCCATGAAGCGTTTGACCCTGCGCGGCACTCGCTCCTCCAATCGCATCTCCTTCCAGGCAACGCCACGTCGCGGCCGATTGCTACTCACGTTATATTTAATGTCGGATTGCCTGATTGGCTTTGATCAGCAGTACGATTTGCATTTTGAAATTATTGATGCAAAGGCCTAAAACGCATAAATGTTCACTAAATACATCCCTCAGCCATTCGTTAACTGAAGGCTTATTAAGTCATATTTATGGAGTAAGTAGTTATATCAGCATATATGCAATTGTAGTTAAACTTACATATTTAATATGTGATTCCCGAGTATATGTCTAACATTTTATATATTGTTACTTGGAGCTTCCCTGTTATTGGGGCTATTGTGTAAAGTATCCATGTTAACTGTCGTATTAAAGAAAACAACTGAATTTATGGCACGACCCAAATAACATTCTGAAATTTGTGTTCCGTTTTGTGAAATTACTTGCTCTAAAAGTGTTAACATATAGTCGCCTTGTAGGCGGCAAATAATTTAACATAATCTACCATACTATACTCTACCGTAAAATATTCTAAACTTGAGTCACGTCTGATAAGAGTATATTTAAAATGAACTACGCTATAAATAACTCAGTCTCTCTGGACAAACAGTGTTTACATACTATAAAAGTGTGCATTACTATAATGAAAGCATGGGAGTGTATAAAATACGCCGTCGGTAACTGGACAGCAGTCAAACGAGTTTTGTATTTTGTCTAGTTGAGTACGCGTTGGACCTCCAAATGTTATCTTTAGTTTTGTTAGGCCTTACGCTTTTAGCGTTGGGCTGGTATTACCTTAAGCACCATTACTCATACTGGGAGCGTCGTGGTTTTCCGTGTGATAAAAATGCCGGTATCCCATTTGGGTGTCTGGCCAGCGTCTGGAGAATGGAGAAGGCCATGGGCATGGCCGTTTATGATGTGTATAAAAACAGTAAAGAGCGATTTTTAGGCACCTATCTACTCTTCCGGCCGGCTGTCTTGGTACGCGATGCTGAGCTGGCACGCCGTGTGTTAGCTCAGGACTTCGCAAGCTTCCACGATCGCGGCGTATACGTGGACGAGAAAAAGGATCCTCTGTCGGCGTCAATCTTTGCGCTGCGTGGTCAAAGCTGGCGTTCCATGCGGCACAAGCTGTCGCCGTGCTTTACTTCTGGCAAGCTGAAGGGCATGTACAGCACATCAGAAGACATTGGCATCAAAATGATAGCCCATTTGCAAAAAGAGCTGCCCGAGCAGGGCTCCAAAGAGGTGGATCTGAAGGAAGTGCTGCAAACCTATGCCATCGATATAATTGCCTCAGTTATATTCGGACTAGACGTGAATAGCTATGAACAGCCAGACAATAAATTCAAGAAAATGGTTACTATTATACGACGCAATAACCGTTTTTCCGCACTTTTTCGCATGATGCTTTTCCTAGTTCCCTCGTAAGTAACAGCCGGATTTAAATTTTGATATAAATTATTGACTTAACGAAATTCGCAGTGTCGCCAAGTTTTTGTTTCGCATTGGCTTCAAGAACCCTATTGGACTGGCCATGTTGGCCATTGTCAAAGACACCATCGAATATCGAGAGCAGCACGGCATTGTGCGCAAGGACATGCTGCAGTTGCTCATGCAGCTGAGGAACAAGGGCAGCATTGACGATGACGACAGCAAAAGCTGGAACATTCAGACCAGTGGTGATGGTGAGCATTGAAGAATATCGCCTGCTATAATCTATACACTTATAAATATTCCACTTTTAGGGCAATTAAAGAGTATATCTTTGGAGGCAATCACCGCCCAGGCTTTTATATTTTACGTAGCTGGACAAGAGACAACCGGCTCGACGGCTGCATTAACAATCTTCGAACTGGCCCAGTATCCAGAGCATCTAAAACGTTTGCAAGGCGAGGTGGATGAGACACTTAAGCAAAACGATGGCAAAATCACCTACGATGTACTGAACAAGATGGAGTTTCTGGAGCTATGTCTGCAGGAAACTATGCGCAAATATCCCGGTTTGCCAATGCTGAATCGTGAATGCACGCAGGACTATACAGTCCCGGACACAAACCATGTCATAAAGAAGGGCACTCCGGTGGTCATCTCGCTGCATGGCATACATCGCGACGCAGAGTATTTCCCAGATCCCGACAAATACGATCCCTATCGTTTTGCTGAGGATACCAAAAACTATAATCCGATAGCCTATATGCCCTTCGGTGAGGGTCCCAGGATATGCATTGCCCAGCGAATGGGTCGCGTTAATGCCAAATTGGCCATCGTCAAAATACTGCAAAACTTCAATATCGAGGTGATGAGCAAACGGGAGCTGGAGTTTGAAACCACCAGCATTGCGCTGCTGCCTAAGGATGGTGTCAAAGTGCGCCTCTCCAAAAGGATACCCAACTGAATGAAAACTTGCAACTAATTACGAAATAATTTTGCCAACCATTTTCCATTAAGATAGTGCCTAGTGATTCGTTGATAGCAGTTAAGTCGCCTTATCGGCGGCCACCAAATAATTTCCCTGATTATTTTATGAATAGAGTCCACACTTTTTATTAAATGCTTGCAATGTACTCGTAGTTACTCTCAGATAACTGAGCACATACATGAATAAGTTTATATCTATATACAAAACTATTTGTCCTGACTGACTGACTGACTCACTGATTGGTGATCAACGCACAGCCCATATTATCACTGAAGTTACCTTACGTGATGAAGATGCACGTTAAGACGGGGTTTCGGGAAATTCCACCCGTTTTTCCCGAAAAACGTTTGTATGAAACCGTTCGGTCGGCCTCAAACTCATTTTCAAAAATCTTTGTTCATATCCATTTGAAGTGGGAATCATATTTGGGACGTGTTTCACATTTTTCGCAAAATCAAAGGTTCCTTGGTGGAAAGTGCCACTCCAAGATTTTTTTGGTAAAATTTTAAATTTTATCCGAGTTGCTTTAAACTTATATTCAAAGCTCTACATAAACACTTAACGAATACGCGTTTCAACGATTTGGCAAATTTCACTCGCAACAGTTGTAAATTGACGGAAAAAGGTTTTATGAAAGTTTTTTGTATACCGTCCGATCGGTTTCAAACTAATTTTCAAAGAGCTTTACAAGGCCAATGTATACCCGCTGTTATCCTATATAGACATAGGTCGAAATTTCCCACTTCAAAAATTCTATATAGACATGCCATAGGTAAAAATTTCTCACCAACATAACTCGTTCTAATCCCAACCGATTTTCATAAGGTTTGAGTCTTTGTTCATAGCTTGGTCTTAAGATTAATTTGACATCCAAATCTTCCAGCATTATTCTTGGTCAAAATTCATGTCAAAATGGTACCCTCAAATATCGTATATAGACATAGGTCAACATTTCCCACTCCCATAGCTCGGTCAAAACTCATCCGATTTGCACGAGGTTCGGGCCCTTGTTTATGGCTAGGCCTCTAGATCAATTTGGCAACTGAATCTGGCAACATTGTTTTTGATTTAAGGTATTGTCCGATTTGCTTTAAAATTATATTCATTAGCACTTATTGAATACGTGTTTCAGCGATTTGGGAAATTTCGCCCGCTAGTAATTTATAACATATATATACATATATATATTTATATATATGTATATTTATACATATGTCTAGCATTTTATATATTGTAACTTGGAGCTTCCCAGTCATTTATCCCATTGTGTTAAGTATCCATGTAAACTATTGTATATAAAAACGAGAAAGAAGTGCTATCTTCGGCACACCGAAGATTTAATACCCTTGCAGACCCAACCTTTTCAAAATGCTTATAGTGCTTTGCCCGTATCTAAGAAGCACAGGGAAAATAGTTAATGCCGAGTATGGTTAAGATATCATGAAAAACAAAACAGGTTTCCGTACAACAACTTAATTTTCGACCGATCGTTCCTATGGCAGCTATATGATATAGTAGCCCGATGTGAATAAGATTTTGCATAAGTGGAGGGAGCATAGAAAAACTAATAAATGCCGTGTTTGGTCAAGATATCTTGAAAAACAAAAAAATTCCATACAACAGCATAATTTTCGACCGATCGTTCCTATGGCAGCTATATGATATAGTTGTCCGATCTTAATAGGATTTTGCATATATATGGGGAGCGTAGTAAAACTAATAAATACCGAGTTTGGTCAAGATATCTTGAAAAACATAAAAATTTTTCCATACAAAAACTTAATTTTCGACCGATCGTTCCTATGGCAGCTATATGATATAGTTGTCCGATCTTAATAGGATTTTGCATATATATGGGGAGCGTAGTGAAACTAATAAATACCGAGTTTGGTCAAGATATCTTGAAAAACATAAAAATTTTCCATACAAAAACTTAATTGTCGACCGATCGTTCCAATGGCAGCTATATGATATAGTTGCCCGATCTGAATAGAATTTTGCATATATATGGGGAGCTTAGTAAAACTAATAAGTACCGAGTTTGGTCAAGATATCTTGAAAAACATAAAAATTTTCCATACAAAAACTTAATTTTCGACCGATCGTTCCTATGGCAGCTATATGATATAGTTGTCCGATCTTAATAGGATTTTGCATATATATGGGGAACGTTGTAAAACTAATAAATACTAAGTTTAGTAAAGATAACTTTATAAACAAAAATGTTTTCCATACAAGAACCTACTTTTCGACCGATCGTTCCTATGGCAGCTATATGATATAGTGGTCCGATCCAGCTGGTTTTGACATATGAACTGCGTGCAACAGAAAGAGGGACTTCGGCAAAGTTTCATAAAGATAGCTTTAAAACTGAGAGACTAGTTCGCATAGAAACAGACAGACGGACAGACGGACATGGCTATATCAACTCGGCTGTTGATACTGATCAAGAATATATATACTTTATGGGGTCGGAGATGTCTCCTTCTATGCGTTACACATTTCACGACAAAATTATAATACCCTCTGCAAAGGTATAAAAAATACATTGTACAGCCCAAATAACATTCTGAAATATGTGTTCCGTTTTGGGAAATTACTTGCCCTAAAAGTGTTGCATACGTCGTTTTATAGGCGGCAAATAATTTATCATAACCTACCACAAGCTACTATCAAATATTCTAAACTTGAGTCGCGTCTGATAAGAGTTTATTTAAAATGGATTTCGCTATTAATAACTACGTATCTGTGGCCAAACAGTGTTTACGTACTATGAAAGAGTGCAATCATATTATGAAATCACGGGAGAGTATAAAATACGCCATCAGTAGCTGGACAGCAGTCAAACGAGTTTTGTATTTCGTCTAGTTGAGTACGCGTTGGACCTCCAAATGTTATCTTTAGTTTTGTTAGGCCTTACGATTTTAGCGTTGGGCTGGTATTACCTTAAGCACCATTACTCATACTGGGAGCGTCGTGGTTTTCCGTGTGATAAAAATGCCGGTATCCCATTTGGGTGTCTGGCCAGCGTCTGGAGAATGGAGAAGGCCATGGGCATGGCCGTTTATGATGTGTATAAAAACAGTAAAGAGCGCTTTTTAGGAACCTATCTACTCTTCCGGCCGGCTGTCTTGGTACGCGATGCTGAGCTGGCACGTCGTGTCTTAGCTCAGGACTTCGCAAGCTTCCACGATCGCGGCGTATACGTGGACGAGAAAAATGATCCTCTGTCGGCGTCAATCTTTGCGCTGCGTGGTCAAAGCTGGCGTTCCATGCGGCACAAGCTGTCGCCGTGCTTTACTTCTGGCAAGCTGAAGGGCATGTACAGCACATCAGAAGACATTGGCATCAAAATGATAGCCCATTTGCAAAAAGAACTGCCCGAGCAGGGCTCCAAAGAGGTGGATCTGAAGGCGGTGCTGCAAACCTATGCCATCGATATAATTGCCTCAGTTATATTCGGGCTGGACGTAAATAGCTATGAACAGCCAGACAATAAATTCAAGAAACTGGTTACTATAATACGACGCAATACCCGTTTTACGGCACTCTTCGGAATGATGGTTTTCCTGGTTCCTTCGTAAGTAACAGACAGACTTCAATATTAATATAAACCAAAAAGAAGGGCTATCTTCGGCACGCCGAAGATTTAATACCCTTGCGGACCCATCCTTTTCATATTGCTTAAATTGCTTTGCCCGTATCTAAGAAGCACAGGGAAAATAGTTAATGCGAGTTAAATAGTTAACGAGTTTGTATCTAAATAAGCAAAAACTTTTTTATACAAGAACCTACTTTTCGACCGATCGTTCCTATGGCAGATATATGATATAGATATATGATAACCTGAGAGACTAGTTCGCATAGAAACAGACAGACGGACACGGCTATATCGACTCGGCGGTTGATATTGATCTCCGACCCCTTATGGGGTCGGAGATGTCTCCTTCTATGCGTTACACATTTCACGACAAAATTATAATACAGAGGGTATAATGATTGCTTAAACCAATTGTTGCAGTGTCGCCAAGTTTTTGTTTCGCATTGGCTTCAAGAATCCTGTTGGACTGGCCATGTTGGCCATTGTCAAAGACACCATCGAATATCGGGAGCAGCACGGCATTGTGCGCAAGGACATGCTGCAGTTGCTCATGCAGCTGAGGAACAAGGGCAGCATTGACGATGACGACAGCAAAAGCTGGAACATTCAGACCAGTGGTGATGGTGAGCATTACCTGCTATAATCTGATCAATTATTAATGTCCCACTTTCAGGTCAATTAAAGAGTATATCTTTGGAGGCAATCACCGCCCAGGCTTTTATATTTTACGTAGCTGGACAAGAGACAACCGGCTCGACGGCTGCATTAACAATCTTCGAACTGGCACAGTATCCAGAGCATCTAAAACGTTTGCAAGGCGAGGTGGATGAGACACTTAAGCAAAACGATGGCAAAATCACCTACGATGTACTGAACAAGATGGAGTTTCTGGAGCTATGTCTGCAGGAAACTATGCGCAAATATCCCGGTTTGCCAATGCTGAATCGTGAATGCACGCAGGACTATACAGTCCCGGACACAAACCATGTCATAAAGAAGGGCACTCCGGTGGTCATCTCGCTGCATGGCATACATCGCGACGCAGAGTATTTCCCAGATCCCGACAAATACGATCCCTATCGTTTTGCTGAGGATACCAAAAACTATAATCCGATAGCCTATATGCCCTTCGGTGAGGGTCCCAGGATATGCATTGCCCAGCGAATGGGTCGCGTTAATGCCAAATTGGCCATCGTCAAAATACTGCAAAACTTCAACATCGAGGTGATGAGCAAACGGGAGCTGGAGTTTGAAACCACCAGCATTGCGCTGCTGCCTAAGGATGGTGTCAAAGTGCGCCTCTCCAAAAGGATACCCAACTGAATGAAAACTTGCAACTAATTACGAAATAATTTTGCCAACAATTTTCCATTAAGATAGTGCCTAGTGATTCGTTGATAGCAGCTAAGTCGCCTTATCGATGCACACCAAATAATTTTCCTGATTATTTTATGAATAGAGTCAACACTTTTTATTAAATGCTTGCAATGTACTCGTAGTTACTCTCAGATAACTGAGCACATACGTTTATGTGTGTATATTTATATAAAGATTATTTATTTACAGGAACGATTGTGTTGTATTTAATTTGGGGTATTTAGAGTCATGTGCGTTATGCCGTATTAATTGTTCTCGCGCTGCTCCAGTTGCTGCTGCTGTTCGTTTTCGAGCATTTTCTGTTTGTTCTTCTGCCTGAAAATCTCCTTGCTGGCCTCCTTTATAGCCTCGAAGATCTTGGCCTGCGACATTATCTGCTTTTGCACATTCTCAACAGCTGGCTCTGCATTGATGTCGATCAGATCGCTCAAGCCTTCGGTCAGATATTCATTGTTGTAGGGCTTCTCCTCGAGCTCATTGCGTTTTATAAGTGAAAAGGGCGGATAGGAGGGGTAGGAGGTGCGCTTACGTCCACAGCCTGAAATGATGTGGTTGATTATGTTTATGTTATTTTCTGGATTTAATTATAATATATATAATATCAACTTTTGGCTTGAGTCACCTGTAAATGCATTGCAAAATGGTCTCTTCTCGTATTTCCATTGTATAACGCCGCTTAGCTTATGCTGTCAGAGAAAGGAAACTTCTATTAGCACATATTATGATATCCAATTTATCTGCAAGATCTGAACACTTCAAGGAATATTTTGGTCCAGTTTGAAGAGTAATTCTGTCATAAACACATCCTTAATAATTTTATGGCCATTCATTTGAGGCCAATGCAAAATATTTAAAAACTTAACACCGCACTCAACGTTTAATTGTGCTGGATAGTTTTTATTGCACTTTTACTCACATTCACTTCATTGTTTTCGATCTCTAGCGAGGCATTCGCAGTGTAAAGACATATTAAAATCGCCGCCAGGCCAAGGAAAATCTCCACAGTGGCTCTCATTTTATATTTTCTATTTTCTTGGTCTTAACTGATATAGTCCGTTTAGCGCCTGCACTGCTTAACGCTTCAGAAGCAATTGATGGAAAATCGCGTATACGGGCCTTGGTCAACATGTCGGCTACGCAATGTGAGACTTGTTCCTTTCAGGATATGACAGGACTGCCCGCTGCGCAGCGAATGTATTTTGTTTGCCTTTTAATAGCATTTTGTGTTTTTCCCGACCTTACCCAGCGACCGCCCTCTTGTCCTACGCGTTGATGTTTGACGTTTGGCGATTGGCCTTAACCAAAAAGTTTATTATGCGCGAGGCATTTAAAAATGCTGGAAAATTTAAGATGCATATTTAGAGGATTGCACAACAACTTGAAGATGCCCTGGACTCTCATAGACATAATATCACGATACAGATAATATCACGATATTTTGGGCAGTGTAATTGCAACGCCGTTCTCCGTTCTCGTGAGAGCCACGAGAAATCTTTCTATTTATAAAGACCCGACACGAAAACCCACTCTCAAATGCGTAAATATAAGCATACGAATACAATATAATCACCGGTTCTTGTTCCTATGTATGCATTTTCCGAAAGTTTTCCTCACGCTTGCTCAGGAATTTTCGGCAAAAACAGCGGGTAATTTCGAATCGATTCTCAGTGGAAACGGAACGCGCAAAGACGGCTCCCGACGGAATTTAATAAAAAGAATTACATATACAGAAAGTTGCAGCCAGAGCAACAGACATCACTTCGCAGACAAGCAATAAATAAACAATTTCTGCAAATTTGTATAAACAAAGCGCAGTTTGGCCCAAAAAAAAAAGGAAAAGCAAGTGAAATATTTTGTGGCACGCTTTTATTTACGTCAAATTGCTGTGCGAATCGTTGTTGAAATCGTTGGAATTTCTGTGTCATTTGTACTAAAATAGCATGTGAGTAATTAAGAAATCTATAAATTATACAATTTAATTAAAGCAGCCGGAAAAGTTAAGCAGCATTTCTTGGACACAACTGCAATACCTGCCTATAAGAAATTGCATTTCACTTGTACGTCGCCTTTTTCTATTCTTTTTATTCTTCTTACACTTTTTTGTGTGTCTATGCAAAGTAAAACACTAAAAATACCTCAGCTATTTTCAGTTTTCATCAGTTTTAGTGTCGCACATTGGTTTGACAACTTTCCAGTCCTGTTTCTGCTTTCCCCCATCATTTGCCGCCCTCTCTGATTTCACGAGGCTCTTTGTTTATAATCAACAGATAATTGCGAAAATAATGCTAATGTCGAAATTATAAACATTTCGGCACGAGTGCCCAATAACAATCTTTTTCACCGAAAATTACAACATATATATATATATATATATATATATCTGCCTTGTATAAGGCATAAAAGTGTTCGTAAAAAATAATTTGGTATGAAAAGAATCTTTTGCGTGTAGAAAAACAAGGAAAAATATGTCGAATGACGTTTTTCTGTTGCAGCGAAGACTTTTGTTTTGGCGTCGTCTTTTTATTTATAAATATGAAAATTTATTTAATTCAATTTTCTTACTCTACTATTTTTAGACAGATATGTCAGAGCCCACAGCCCAACAACAGCAGCCGCAGAATGGCAAAGAGCGTTCCAAGTCAACTGAGGAGAAAGAGATACCGCGCGAGCCGGCGCTGGTTTGCAAAGACATCAACGTAAGTATTATACATATATATATACATATATATATATATATATATATATATGCCTATATATGCAGCATCATTTCCAAAGTTATAGCCTGGTCTGGTTGAGTTATTTAATAATCATCAATATCAACATTGTTCATAGATAAAGACTGAATTAGAGTGCTTAGTGAAATTGTTGGATGGCAAAATTTCCAAAGAAGAGGAAGTGGCCATGGAGGAGCTGCATCAGTATTTGATCGAGGACGATGGCTCCTGGGCGTTGGGTGACAATTTTCTGGTATTTGTGCAGCGCGTACTGCGAGATGTTCAGGCCTTCTCGCCGGACACACGGATACATATGATACGCACGCTGGCCTATGCGGCACTCAAGGACGATGTGATTATAATCTTGCATCAGGATCGCAGGGATCACACGCTGATGAATTTTGCACAGGATATTGACAAGCATACGCCCGAGGAGCAGCAGGCCTGGGCCATGTTTGTAAGTCCCCCAATTCCAAACTTTAGATTATATCTTAAATTCAATGTTTTTTCCCTACAGACTTGCAATCTGTTCGAGAATGTCGGTCCCTCAGAATGGCTGCTGTACATTTCGGAGTGGGAATACAATGGCCAGAACATTTCAAATATACGCGTAACCACCAAGGTGGCCGTCCACTGCATACTCTCGAATTGTCCGCAGCTAAAGAATATTGGCTCCATGATTTTGTACAACATAGCCATCAAGGAGGTGAAAACTGTGGTACGCACAACCTGCTTGAAATTCTAGATATACATACATATATATCTGAGCTCATGTTGTGTTTATTGAATATAGGTATTCGATGATGTTGCTGTGGAGCTGGCAATGGCCATACTGCAGTTCTTCCAGAGCAGTCCCAACGAAGATCAAATCTTTCGCACGCTTAAGGCGCTGGCACGTTTCCTCGAGGTATTGACCCACATATTCGTATAACATTTCGGCTGACAGCTGTCAACTCGTGTCATTTCTCATCTTAGGTATCTCCGGACGTACAGATGATTATTCAAATGATTGGACCGCATCCAAAACAATTTGCTGGCAAAAGCGAACGCGTCGACGAGCTGATAAAGATAATCAGCCGCAAGGTGCCCGCCTAGGAGCACCAATAGATTTTTAAAGACCATTATCATAGGCAAGCCTTACTTTATACACAATGTACTTAGATCTTTCAATTTTTTGTAAAGCATTTTCGCGACACAATAAACATTTCTATTCTTTACTAACTCGATGCGGCCTACAACATGTCATCGCCACAGCAGAGCTTCAGCAGGGGAAATCCATTGCCGGCATTTGCGCGCAACTGGAGCCAGTGTTTCTGGTTGGAGACAAACATTTCGGATGGCAGCTGTGTGTCCTGGGCATTTGCATCTTCTGCAACAAGTGGTCAAGACTTTGAGATTAGCAAAAACTAAGACAATTTGGAACAACTCACGTGTCTTCTTGTCGAACCTTGGCGACTGCGTAATGGAAATAATATCTTCTGGCTTGCGCAAAAGTATCTTGCCAACGCCCTTGCACATGCGCAGCACTTCATGGTTGCTCAGCTTGTCCAGCTGCTGCTCGTCGAGCAGAGCGCAGCTAAGGATCCACTCGCGCACATCATCAAAGTCATTCAGGAGACGCAGAGCCCCATTAACACTGAAACGTATGCGCTTCTGGTAAATGAAGTCCAGCCATGCCTCACAGATGAGCTTCAAGATGAGCTTGAGTATGACTATATCCTTGGTGGCGCGTATGCTGGGCAAGAAGATCTGATCCAGCACATAGCCAACATACAAGCTCTTGTCCTCCCCGTTGTAGACGCTGCGCTGCCAATGGCTGGCTGCCGGAAAGCACAGCGTAAAATTAGCCAGGCTGAGTATGCGGCAGACCGCGGACAATATCTGAACACATTCATCGGTAGTTTTCTATCAAAGAACAGAAGCAACAAGTTTCAAACAGTTTCAGCTACGATAATGGGCAACTACCTTGAGCAAATCTATGTTATTTGTTGTCTCAGTGATCAGCTTTGTGCGCAGCGCGACGCACACCAGCATGAGTATATCGCTCAGATCGGCAGTGAGTTTGGGCAGTTTAAAGGTATTGAAGACGTTCAGGCATTGCTTCACATCGTGCTCTAGTATTTGAAAAAAGCGATCCATTTTCCACTCGCAGCACAGCAGCTTCGCCTGCTCGGTGACCCACAGACGCATCGAGTGCACCGAGTGATCTACGAGAGAAGAGCTCCATAAAGTCAGAGAATCAATCGTGCAAGACTATTTTAAAAATCTACCCAGCCTATGTAGTATGGGTATTTGCTCAGCGACCGGCAATAGGCTGGAATTATTGTGCGCCTCCGTATTGGCGAAATACTGATTACTCAGATTGACCAAGTTTGAAAAGACACTGATCCATACCGTG